TTTAAATTTAAATATTAATATTTAATAAGACATATTTTAAAATTTTAAATTTAATTTTAATTAAATAAATAATATAATTGAAGATTGAAAAATATTAGAATTTTAATTTTTTTAAAAGTTATGATTGATATATATTTTAATAATAACAATAATAATAATAATAAACATCATAGGCTCCATTGGTGCATGCTTAAGAGCATTTGCAATGTGTAGACTCGTAAAGAAGTCTCCTAATGCCACTCAATTCCTATTTTTATTATTTTATTCAACTTTGAGGGACCTGCATGCATTGCATTGCATTGCATTGCAAAGTGACTTGCAGCTCTACGAGCGTCCATGATGGTGGATCTCCTAATGTGTCTCTCCAAATTTCACCTCATTCCTCCTATATTATTTTATTTAACTCACTCTTAAGAGATTTTAGTCTAACTACATTATTGAGTCCTTTAATAAAATAGTCTAACTACAATTGAGTCCTTTTAATAAAATAGTCTCCAGTAGGGTCTAACACTCTTAATTAAGTCTAACTACATTATTTTCACCTAATCAAATCTAGTAAATGGGACGTAACCTTATCATGCATGATTCGGTCCCTCTTAAAAGTAGGACGCTATATGCACGAAATATAAAGAACGAAGGATTGCAATTTTTTTTTTTATCATTAATTTTTATAAAAATGAAAGTTGATTTTATTTTTATTAATTAATTATCTAATAAAATTACTTACGTGATATAAATGTTGAAAATATTCTTAATTTTTCTATTATCTTATATAAATTAATAAAAATATTTATAATAAATACATCTTAACATAACATATGTCATAAGACATAAATTTTAAAAATTCTATAAATTAAGAATTATCACAAGGTCCCATTTCCGACAACATTGTAAGTATCAATTGCAAGTGCACGCTTGTGTCTCCGAAATGATTCCAATAGTGATTGGTACCCTTTCTCGTCCGGTTATGGTCACATAGTATATTATTAAGGCTACATTGATGTTATATTTTTGTCCATTCCTTTAAGAAGTGTTGTATGGAGGAGTTACATAAAGTTGAGTGGACAAAAATATAAATTAACTAATTTAAATAAAAAGTACAACCTGTGTAGCCTTAACAATTTGCGGTATGCTTATGACCGAAGCCCATCTCTTCTCAAATTAAGAAATCTGGTGAAAATTTGCATCCTATAATATGTACGTGCTGGAGTAGAGGGTTTTAACATCAAACCAATTACCACCTTCTATTCCTTCAACAAAAATGATTGGAATATATTCTATTTAATATATTTTTTAATATTCATTTTAGTTTTTATGTTCTATATGTCTGCATCTTTAAGTTTATTTATTTTTAATTTTAGAATGAAAAATAATAAATTTTTAATGAGTGTGTTGTGTAATATATTAAAATAGAGTGTATTAGTCATATTCTAAAACCAAACCAATTTAATTGGATAGTAAAATTTTCAAACCAATATAATCTACTATTTTATTATCCAAACCAACCTAACTTAAATTAGATTAATGTGATTCAATTGAAATTGATGAGT